TTTTGGCGAGTCATCCAATGACTTTTTTGTATCTCATAAAACCTATTGTTTGATTTATCAGGTGCATATATATTCATCTAAAAATCTATGTGTTAATTATTATTTCTGATTTACCTAAAAATAATATTTTTAAAAATGAAGTTGTTAGCGTTGACACTTGACTATCTTTTTAAAGTGGTTCATAAAAACATTAAGTCTTTGACGAAATTAACTAGGATACCTAAGGCAACAGTTGCAAGATGTTTAAAGAAAATGAGGAGAGGAATGACCTTGGAGAGAAAGAACTTAATTTAATGGACCAACAACAATTGATTCAATTAGCTCAAAACAATTATACACGATCCGCCCGAGATATTCAAATTGAATTAATCATAAAAGGTAGTCCGAAGGTTGCTGAGAGAACCATTATCTTAGCCGAAGTGGGTACTTCAGTTTTTTTTCCCTAAAATCAACCCCTAATGACTCCTGTTCAATAAGAAAATAGAGTAAAATAATGTAAAAAACACTTAAGAAAAAGAATCAATGGGTATTTAGTGATGAGAGTCGTTTTGAGTTATTTTGAACTCGTGAAGGTTAATGGCAAATAAACAACCGAGAAATGGCAAACCAAAGTTTAAACAGAGTCTCATGGCATAGAGGGCGATTCGTTCCAAAGGTAATTTTTATTCCAAAGGTACATTGCTTATTATCAAGGGCACTGTGAATAATGAAAAGTACAAAGAAATTCTTTCTGAAGCTGAGCCAATTCTAAGCCGTCGTGTTCAAAAATAGAAGTTTAAGATAAAGATTAAGCTTTACTCTTTATTTTCTATTGAACAATTTTATTATTCATTTGTTATTTTGAAAATAAACCTTAAAAAACTCATTTATTTTGTCCGGGAGGTATAAGGTAATCATACATCGTCTTAATAATGAGCTATTACGAAAGTGAGGAAATCTATTCGGGAGCAAAAAAAAACAGTAACTAAAAGAATTTCTTAAAATCTTATATTAATCAAGAAAACTCAACAATAAAAGGGAACTCTTTATTGTTTACTTTTAAAGAAAAAAAAAATATTCAAAGTTTTGCATTAAAGAACAATTAGTGCTGAAACGTCGAGAGCATATTTG